TTTTTTTTTTTTTTTACTGGTCGGCAGACCGCCGACCGGTCGGCCGAACTCGTCGGCTGCAATACGGTCGGCGGTCGGCATCGGCAGTCGGCAGGGATGCCACCCTGTTAGGAACACAAGTAACAACGATAGACTAACTGTTACATGCACAGATAAGCAATGTATGCAATAAACCGAGAATCTGCAATGTGATGAAAAGGACTGAATAGACAATGCGGTTACGAGAATCTCGACCAGCAATGTACATTCTCAYTCATACATAAAGATGATGAAGAGCGCARGGAMGACTTGATACAAAGACTGACCTGACTAGGACTGACCTCATTCAYGTAGGCATCAAGTAGCGAAGCAGAGGGSTAGACTAKCCCAACCAATGTTTGAACTCGGACTACACATGCATTGTGTCCATCACTCAGTGTGAAGGAGCCYGGCGCTGAACACAAGAAGRGAGCGCCAGGTCCAGACATACAYAGACGAAGAGATAAGGATCAGACGAAAGGAGGGAAGAAGATGGGAATGTCGTTAACACCAAGTCTTGGTCACCAATCCCAAATAGTCCCTCGTTGCCATGTCTGAACCCCCAAAAGTCGAGTCWGGATCATATGWCACCAAGCCCGGTATCTCTTCTCTCGTAGTCTGCAACTGCAGGGAAGTCAGAAGTTGAGAGGGTAAGAAGAAGATGGTGGACWGAGAAGMGGAAGAAKAGAACTCTCTCTCTCTSTCGTTGTTACAAACCAGGTACTAACCTGTGATGYTGGCGYTGTGCTGCAGGTACCTCGAAGAYGAAGATGGAGCAACGRCGCTGCAGGTAAGTACTCCCTGGCCTCCGCCCATCCTCTCTCTACCACTATCTAGCTATGGCGCCCARCGCCGAAGACTGCAGCTACCTACTGCGCCCAGCGCTGAAGACTACTAGCTAACGCTACAACTACYACTACGCAGCGCTCCCTCCAGAGTGCTGCTCCCGAATCCTGAAGACTACAACTGCCGAACTGCCTCGTCGGAAGTGCCTGGGAAGTCYTWTGTACTACCTCGGCCTGCCTCCTGACTACTGGAGGGCAGTCAGGCCRAGGAGGCAGCTTCTTGCCAATGCCGAAATGTGCCAGGGGCTGGCGTGCAGCAGCCTGCTTGAGGCTGGCGTGGGAAACAGACTAATAATAGTCTGTTTCCGAAACCCTGGTTCGGTGCCTGAGTTTCAGGGCCGGTCGTTCTAATGAATGACCGAAAATGGCCCTTCGTTTCAGGCTAAAAGGGCTGTTGCCATTTTTACTCTGAAACGACCAGGGATAGGCCCGTGACTTCAGGCTTTTGGCCTAAGCCGACAGGGGGCCTGTAAGCCCTGGATTTCAGGCTTTCGGCCTGAAGTTCAGGCTTTTGGCCTGAACGTTGTCGGGCCTGCAAAATGGCCCGTGTGTGCACGCGCTGCATGTAACACACCCCCCTCCTTATGAAGTCAAGCCGAGGCGGGGGCGAAGCCGTCGATCTGAAGGTGGAACCGAAGAAACCGGCTTGCCTTGCATCTTGCGTTCGTAGCGTGCGAGAACGTCTGGAGTTGTCGCTTGCAGTTTTGCACGGGTTAACCAATGGTCAGCTCGATGTGTGCAGTAGGCAAAATGCACCAAATACTCAGCTGGCTTGTTGCCAAAGCGTCGCTGGGAGATGATGTCGCCGACCTCCTGAAAACCATCCATAGAAGGTGGGTCTTGCGTCAGTCTCCCGGGAAAGTCGTGATGATCCATTGGCGTGTAGAGAGCCAGTTTGGAGCAAAGAAAGACTGGGTAGACAGGCAAGTGGCTAGGCACCTAAATCGTGAAGGAGGGTCCTTCGGGTGCGTCCCTTGCGGGCTCTATGATCGGCCAAGGTTTCATCCATTTCGGGAGGAGCTTGTGAGAGACGTCTTGTTCAAGGCTGAATTCCGCTGCTGAAACCCAGACGAGGTCTCCGACGCGGAATGGACAAGGAAGACGCTGGCAATTTGCCTGTTGGCGCATGCGCTGTTGCGTCTTAGCCATCCGGTCGCGTGCCTTGACAAGAAGCTCTTGTATATATATATATATATATATATATATATATATATATATATATATATATATATATATATATATATATATATATATATATATATATATATACGCAAGAAAAAAAAATGGTCGTCGCTCTCGGCCGTGCGTGGTGTAATCGTGTCCAACGGTGACGTGACTGGCGAGCCGTGCTCAAACTCGAAGGGCGATATCCCAATAGCCGGGTGGATGGAAGAGTTATAAGCCAACTCAACGTCCGGCAGTCGCTCAACCCAGTCTTTCTGGTCGGGGCGGATGAGAGTGCGAAGGAGAACCTGTGCGGTCTGATGCGCCCTCTCCGTTTGGCCATCGGTCTGAGGGTGGCGAGCTGAACTGGGCTTGAGAGATGAGCCCCATCGCTTGATGAGCGCCAACCGAAAATCGGACATGAACCGAGTGTCGCGGT